CCCAACTCAGAAATCAACTTGCAACTACAAGAAATGTCCAAGTTGGTTAGGTTAAAACTAACCTCATGCCTTATAATATCTATATCTGGCTGCCACACGTGATACTTCTGTTGACGGCCATCATTCAACACCATTTCTTGATGACAGGCACTGCCTTTCATGAATTGTTCCTCAAACAGAAAATATATCTCAATCGTGTATACCTCTCTAGCATGTGAAAGAAGTTTCACATGCTCCATCATCATAGCGGGTACCCCTTGAGCACACCGAAAGTCTTCACCATTCTCTTTACTTCTCCATTCAAAAATTACGCCTACAAACGATGAATAGAAATCACAAAGACCCAATGTCTTGGACAACCTTCTAGAAATCGAGTGATTTGTAGTTTCACTCCTTTGTGACGACAAAATGCCCCTAGAAAAATAGTCCTTGTTAAATGCTAGACACCACTTCTCCCTACAGTCATATAGCTTTTCTAACCAAGTATTCTTGTGGCATTTATAGTCAGTCACCAACCTGAAAATGGTAAGACAAAATCCCAAATGTTTATGAAGCAGAATATTAACAAACAACATCACCACATCTAACACATGCTCAAAATTTCTACTGCTATATATACATAATTGGAATACTATATGTCCATAATTGATAGACTATATATCCATAATCCATATACTACATTTCCAGGCACAACCAGTCAAGTTCAACTACTATATATCCATAATTGAAATACTATATATCCATAATTGATACACTATACATCCATAATCCATAAACTACATTTCCAGTGACCACCAGTTAGTTCACCTGCTATACATCCATAATTACTATACTATACATCCATAATTGTTAAACTATACATCCATAATTCATATACATCTGTAATAAATATACTAAATGATCAGAACGGCTAATACTGCATACATATGAAATATAATCCAATAAAAACGATTAATTACTAACATAAATTGTCCAATAGAATTGAAATTCAGCTTCGGTCTCTGTGTATTTCAACACGTAGTTAAACATATCCAAGAAATCCTTATTGTTCCTTAACGTCTTGATATGCTTCTTTGAATTCTCACCAATATGCCATATGCAAAGACGGTGACGTGATGTTGGAAACACTTTAGATATAGCAGCAGCCATAGCTGCACATTGATCTGTCATAATAGTCTGTGGACACTTGCCACCCATAGATCTTAAAAACGCTTTAAACAACCACACAAACGATTATATCCTCTCGTTCATCAAAAACCCGCATCCAAACATTACATTTATGCAATGGTGATTCATCCCTACGAAAGGGCCACAAATCATATCATATTTGTTTGTGCGATATGTCGTATCGTGCACTAACAAATCCCCAAACACCTCATAATCTCGTCTCATTTGACCATCCCTCCAAAAAAAAAAAAAACTGCACAATCTTGCATCCAAATCAAGTTCAAAATCAAAGAAAAAATCAGTCTCAGTAGACTGCCTCCTCTTAAAAATTTCAATTAAAGAGTTAGAACCCGTTCCATCCAATCGCTTGACTGTATCCGCAGCCATTGAATTATAAGCATCTCTATTGGTGAAACCAACTAATGGGGACCCCCCTGATTGGTGTTTTAGGAACCTAATACCATCTGCCAGTGCAACTCCACTGTCCTTCAAACCTTGTAAATATAAGAGCTAATTATCTCCGACACTCCTATGTGAACGAAGTAGATGACTCTTGTTGAACACACATAACTCGTGATTGTGCACTTTCTCGTGTTTTGTAACTGTCCACAACCCATCATCACCCACGTCAAACTGAACAGACGCTCCACACCCTGTCCTTGTGTCAATTTTGGAATAAGCCTTAACCCCACTGTTTTCCTTATAACCAGCCTTAGAACAACAAAAGTTCTTCATTTGAATTGTGTTAGTAGATCCCTTGTACCGTTGATGACCCTTCCTCACACTAAAACCAAGTCTATATGCATAATTGTTATACAACTCAAAAGCCTCATCAACATTACTTACTACCAACCCAACCAAATCTTGATCAACTACAAATATAACACAATAATAACCATTTCCATTAAACTATAGTTCCTAACCAGAATTTGCTAATTAAAAGGTAAACCACTATGAATAAACCTGGAATTGATGAAGATCTATCAACGTCTACATCTGCTTGATCTGAACTCACTGAACCATCCACAATGCCTTCACTAACTACATTATATAGACATGGTGAACATTATTTCAAACAGTTCATCAAACAGCAAAAACAGAGTACCTACAGATTCTGGATATATAGTTATGTGATTATGGAAATATAGTTATACAATTCTGGATACACATACGCAACAAACTGCCAAAACAGAGTACCCCGCTAATTCTGAATATATAGATATGCAATTCTGGAAATATAGTTATGAAATTATGGAATTATTTTTTTGAAATTCTGGAATTGTTGTTATACAATTATGGATATATACTTATGTGATTTTGTATACATATTTGCACAACTAAATGGCAGATTCTAGACACAAACATCACTGCTAACAACAATTGTATCATAATGAATCACAAAATCATACAAAAAAGCAAAAGGAACAAATGCAAAAATAATAGCAAGATCACCTTGAATCGAATGCCGATCACCAACTGCGGAATTCGTCTGCTCTGTTCCATCCTCCATCTAACAATCACTTTGTATTCCGATCGCGATTTGCGATTGCGATTGCGATTCCGGTGATATCGAATGCCAATTCCACAGCGAACAACTGCCAACGATCGAGTTGGAAACTTGGAAACAAACTCAAAAGGAAATAAACGCCGTTAACGGAATTCTTTTTTTTTTTTAAACACCGCGTCCTTACTCAAAAACGACGTCGTGTGCATCGGTATGCACCATGCATGGTGCATACCGATGCACAGCATAATTTGCCAGTTATCAACAACCTGATTTGGTAAAGCTTCATAAGACTGAAAAGAATAAAAAACAAATATATTGTCTCCACTCCTAATATTAGAGCATTGCGAATTGTTTGAGTTTTTGTTAGAATTTTAGTCCAACAAAGAAAGAGAAGAAAGAGGTACTGTAGGGCTAACTTATTGGATCCGTTGGTGAAAAACAAATAATAATCAAATGAAATTCAAATTATTATTTTCTAGAAAACTAAGGGAAGGAAAGATGGAGAATATCACTCTTTCCTTAAAACTTTATTTGCCAAAGCGCTAGGAGCTTCAATCTCTGCTTCTCTTAGGAGTTAATAACATGGCATAACAACAAGCTCGAGTTTGAATCAAACCTTTTCAATCTCATTTTAAGTTGGAATTTGAGAGCCTCTATGCTATAGAATTCTACAAGCTTCAAAAGAGCTCTTGTATAAAAGGGGGGTCAAATCCTCTTTCCAAACCAATATGGGACACAAGCTCACTTTTTCCCTTCATTTTCCAACTCAAATGGGTCTACTTTGAGAATCAATATCTCATTCACCCATTATCCGTTTTGAGCGTACAATATATCAATCTCTTCGTCTCACTACGAAGAATCCAAATCCACTTTGACCCGACCCAAATCGGAAGTGGACCCCACTCATAATTGTACCGCAAAATAGCCACTTAACATGCCATTTTAAGCTATTTTTTCCAACATAACTCGAGTGGTAAATCACTTGACCTAAAGTTAACACATTAGCTTCAGAGTGAAGGTTTTCCACTTACATCTTGGAGTTAACTTCAATTCCTGGACTATAGTTTGGGCCCTTGGGCTCTCTAGGTTGGAGATTAGGCTCCCCAAATTGCTGAAAATGTGGACATGATCTCTTGTGCGTAACGTCAACGACAGGGACTGGCTAGGAGATTGCTTGAGCGGTTTGCAATTTACCTATTACAGCGACATAAGATTTAGGATTAGTCTGGCATGCAAAAGCTATGAAACCTAATGTTTCAAAAAGGAGAAATCGAAAAAAAAAATGACGGCCACTCTATCACGTCCAGCCGCACAATACCTAATGAGGCGCACAAAAAAATAATCTATCATGCAAGCAATCATTATTCTCTCTCTCCTACTTTCTCCTTCCCATCAAGCAAAAAATCTAACAAAAATCCATAAGAGCAACCATAATTGTGATTGTTGAAGAGTTTTATGATATTTTTGTTTGAGTTGAAAATAACAATTGGGGATGGTTTTATTTGTTTTTTTTTTTTAAGTTTTTTTCCTGCAAAAATAAGTTTTTAATTTGCAAAAAAAAAAAAAAAAAAAAAAAAAAAGAACAAAGGCGCTTAAAGCGCACGGATCACCCCAACGGGTGCGTATTGAATATAAATTTACTAGGCGGCAATTTATATTGTGCACCAGGGCGCACATTGCATTGTGTGCCATGACAAAAAAAAAATTATGTTTCCTGTTTCTATTGTTAAATTCAAAAATAAAAATAAAAATTCTCTGTTTCGAATGTACATAAACTCATAACAGAATACATATAATCTAACATAATACTTCGTACATAATACACATAAATTCATAACAGAATACACATAATCTAACATAATACATAATACTGAATACACATAAACTCATAACAGAATACACATAATCTAACTAATACATAATACACATAAACTCATAACATAATACACATAAATTCTTAACATAATACACATAAACTCATAACAGAATACACATAATCTAACATAATACATAATACACATAAATTCTTAACAAAATACACATAAACTTATAACGGAATACACATAATCTAATATAATACATAATATACATAAACTCATAACAGAATATACATAAACTCATAATAGAATACACATAAAATCTGAACAATAAAAACGACATCATTTTGGTCAAGGTGCATAATACATTGTGCGTCCTGGTGCACGATATAACGATTGTCACTAGAATGATTCAGAGCGGCTACCAACTGGTCACCACTTTTAAGTGTAAATCTATTTATTTCTTCACACACACTAACAAGACACCTTCCAATCGTCCCTCCAACATTCCCATAATGTTTTTATTGAATTTTTCCGCCCTCCTCAAACAAACTCTCAATTGTAATGGGCGGTTAGATCCCATTTTAACGAATCATATTTAGGTTGTACGCCGCCTATTAACACTCTCTCTTCATTCCATCTCGCAATGCGGCTCTTTACGTTTACCTTGTAAGGACTCATCCAGTCATCCCTCCATCACTCCATGGCATTGGCAGGTCTCTCTCCTCTTTAACACTCTGTAAATGATTCATTTGAATTATTAATTCTAGATTTTAGATGGTTAGTGATGATCTTGTTAATATATTAATTTACTCACAGTAGGTCAACTTTTATTTTAGTATACTACATTTTTTGAGTTGAATTTTGGGTTATAGTTTCATTGAGAATCATCTATGTGCAATGAATATTGTTAATTTCCTATAAAGGAATGATTTATGTGCAGTGAATATCCTTTGTTTCTTACGAAGGAATGATCTATACGCAGTAAATATTGTTTGTTTCTTACGAAGGAATGATCTATGCGCACTAAATATTGTTAGTTTCTAATGAAGGAATGATCTATGTGAAAATTGTTAATTTCTTATGAAGGAAAGGAATGATCTATGCGCAGTGAGTATTGTTAGTTTCTTATCAAGGAATGATCTATGTGCAGTGAGTATTGTTTTTTTTTATAAAGGAATGATGAATATTGATAGTTTCATATAAGGGAAAGATTTTGATTTCCCGTTCTTAATATTTGCCAATACTGAACAAGCAATTTAGTTAGTTTTTGCAAAAGGAAACTAAGCGAATCTATTTGTGCAGCAGAGTATTGATGAAGCTAGCTAGTTTAGTTTGATTAATCTCTATTATATTGGTAGGTGGGTGAAAGTTCCTTCGTGCACTGCATATATTTATGATTTCCTCCTGAATTGTTTACCATCTGTATTGATGCATAGCAGACATTGAAGATGGTTCAAATGAGAGGCCTCGCTCGCTTATGAAGCTCAAACAGTTGCATTTTTGGCTCCAATTGGCTCTTATTGTGGTTTTCCTTGTTGGTCAGGCAGCTGCTGTTATTCTTGGAAGAATTTACTATGAGAAAGGTGGAAATAGTAAATGGTTAGCCACTCTTGTCCGAACAGCTGGTTTCCCTATTCTTTTAATTCCTTATTTTCTTATTCCTTTTCCCAAAGAACAATTAGATTCATCAAACCCACCTCCACCTTCTCCTTCTATCATCAAAGTTACAATTATCTATTTCTTACTTGGTGCCATCCTTGCCGGGGATAACCTTCTATATTCTACTGCATTGTTATACCTCTCAGCCTCAACCTATTCCCTCATATGTGCCACACAGATAGTCTTTAATGCTATTTTTTCTTTCTTCTTTATTGGTAAAAAAATTTCAGTGTTGATTTTCAACTCCATGATTGCCCTTACATTAGCTGTTGTTCTGCTTGCCACTAATGAGGACTCTGATAAGCCTTTGGGCATCACTAGGTGGAAATATATAATTGGAATTATAATGGCTATTGTGGCTTCTGCATTGTACTCCCTCATTTTTCCACTGATGGTATTCTCATTTCATAAAGTTAAAAAGACAGAAACATTTTCTGTGGTTCTGGAAATGCAGATATACACATCACTTGTAGCCACTGGTATCTCTACCATCGGGTTGTTTGCTAGTGGGGAATGGAGGACTCTGTCGGGAGAAATGCACGCCTTCACCACAGGAAAAGCCGCCTATGTGCAGGTTCTGGTATGGACAGCTTTGGGATGGCAGATTGCTGCAGTTGGCATCATGGGTTTAATTTTTGTGGTGTCCTCCTTGCTCTTCTGCTATGTTATCAGCACATTCTCAATGGCTGTTACTCCCATCGCTTCGGTGATCATCCCGCATGAGAAGATGAATGGTGTCAAGATGATTTCTTTGCTAATCGTAATGTGGGGCTTTGGAAATTACATATATCAGAAGTACCTGGATGATACCAAGGCAAGAAAAACACATTTTGCTTCTTCTGATTCTGCAACTAATAGTTCTTGTTATTAGTAATCATTGGATAGGTCAAACAATATATTGTAGAAATATCATTCAATTGTTCTTTCGGCAAAACCAGTATCATGACGTACAACAGGTTTCCGCCCTCGTCAGTGAAAAGTACAAGCTCGTCATTGAAAGGTACAAGCTCGTCATCTTAGGAGACGCGTCTGTCGGCAAAAGCAGTATCATCACTCGCTTTGTGAACAACAAGTTCCATAACGAATACAAGGTAAATGAGCCTGCGATTAGTTTGATTTAAGCTTTTGTCGTCGAAGTTAGTGAAATTCAATCACTTGTGCATTTTTTTGGCTGATCGTTCTGGCTGTCACTCCTACATTCCATTTGATTTACTGATTTTTGTTGGAACTTAAATTGACTCTTTGTTAAGTTGGCATTTAGTTTACTGAGGATCTGAATGTATTTGCTTTCTCATTCTAATCTGCTCGGAATTGAACTTTGTGTTGAAGTCTTAACCAGGCTTATTGGACTTGGACTTGGACTTGGATCTATGTTATTGGCTTTGTGAACTAAGTTGCAGAATTTCTTTACTCCTACGTGGAAAACTTACTTTGTTTTCATTCTAAATTCACTTTAAAAATCTTTCAGCCAACAATTGGCATTGATTTCCTGACAGGGTACCTTGAAGATCGTAGAGTAAGACTGCAGTTTTGGTAAGTTATGATTCTGAATACATGATTTTTTCAAGTATTTATCGCGTTTTAATTTTAATATGCGGCTTATAATTTCACTTCTCAAACATCCATTTGTATTGACAAATAATTCTTGATATACCTAATGCTTCTAAATAAATGATTTTTTGAGACTTCTATCGCGTTTGCATTATGAAGCATATAATTTCACTTCTCAAGCATCCGTCTGTATTCACAAATTCTTGATTTAAACTATGCTTCTGAATAAATGATTTTTTGAGGCTTTTAATGCGTTTCCAATATCGGCATATAATTTTACTTCTTTAGCATTCATTGTATTGACAAATTCTTGCGACGTATAATTTCACTCATCAAGCATCCATTTGTATTGGCAAATTCTTGATTAATATTTTCTTTCTATCTCTTGTACATAAGATGTTTTGTAGTGATGCTATGTTTGGACTAACTTATGGTAGCTTGCTGATCTGATTAAGCATTGCAATTGCTTTCTTCCCATATTCCTTATCTTGACATCAGACTGATGTTATCTTTCTAGTTGCACTAGAAACTTTTCTTCAACTAATCTTGTTGATGTGTACTCTTCCCAAGTAGTATGTGATAAATAGTATTAATACTGGAATAATATTAGACTACCTTCTCAATTACACTGTTAATTGCTGCATATGCATGCCTAATCTGTTATTGAAATAATATTTGTTTTTTTTTTTAAATTGTTTCTTAAATTGCTCTACTTCTGTGGTGGCGAAAAAGGGATACTTCAGGGAAAGAGATGTTTAGGAGTCTTATACCAAGCTACATCAGTGACTCAGTTGTGGCTGTTATTGTGTACGATGTTGCAAGTACGCTCTCTAATCTAAGGCTTCCTTTTCATTTGATGAAAAGCTTGCTTAGTTTCAAGAAACATGGTCCATATTGAGATTTATTTTGCTTATTTATTAGCAGCAGCTTAATTCATCATATATTCATATGCATGCAATTTGTTTTCTCAGCCTGTGCAAAATATTTGATTTCACCACATTTAATTTTTCTTATGCTCAGGTAGGCAGTCCTTCCTTAATACTTCAAAATGGATTGAACAGGTTTGGGCTATTCTTGGGAGTGATGTTATCATTGTTCTTGTTGGGAATAAAATTGACCTTGTTGAAAAAAGGTTCCTTCCCGAACATCCTTTTCCTACTTTATACATGATTAGTAGATCTTAAATCATCTATATTCTCACTATTTTATATTTTAAATCTCATGTATCTTATCAAGAAAGGGATTATCTTAAGGACTTGTGCGTAGGTTAAGAGTTGCGTGGATATTTCATATTTTGTTTTTAATTGATTGGATATTATTAACAGACAAGTTCCAAAAGAGGAGGGAGAAGCTAAAGCAACGGAACTAAATGGCATGTTTATTGAAACCAGTGCAAAGGCTGACTTGAATATAAAGGTGAGTACTGACAATGTGGTTTCTAAAGAAGTGGGATTTCTTAAAGAACATCTATCTGTACGTATTCTATGATGAAATGGAATTTACATAATAATATATTCTGAATTTGAGAAATGAAAATACTTAGTATTGTTATTGTTGTGAGTGAGTTAAAATTTGTGTAGATTGATTTGTAGTTTGCACACATGGCTGGCTGGCTGGTTAAGCAACTCATTTTGCTGCAATAATTGCAGGCGCTATTTATTAGTATAATAGGTGCAGCCATGCGGCCTACCCAGGCAGCAGGAATGGAGACATTATCGTTTGCTGAGCTAAGCAAGATGAAGACACAGTGGTGAAGTTGCACTTTACGTGGTGTGCTCTTTAGAGACACTAAACATTGGTCACCATAATTTACTTCTTTACTATTCTGTCGGATCCAAGTGTGAGTTGTTGCGGCGAGAAAATTCCGCTTTTTGTGGGCAAATTAATAAATCTAATTTGATCCATGCAGAACTTTTGCACTTTGCTTGTGGCCAAAAATATGAGTTCTTCACATGATTATGAAGTTCTCCTTTCTACTTTTGCAGCCAACTCCCTAGTCCATGGCAAATTATTGTGTGGACTGTGGTCCATACAATTGTGTGGATCATTGTCCAAAAATATCGTCGTGTACATTACGTGTTAAAATAATGTATATTACGTGTTAGAATAATATACATTATGTTTTAGAATAATTGAACATCTAGGTAATATAATGTATATTATGTTTTAAAAATAATGTACATTATGCTTTAGAATAATGGACATTATTCTTGTATATTATGATTTTAGAATAATGTAAATTATGAATTATAAAAGGAAAAAAGGGTTAAATAAGTCCTCAAACTTTACTTATAAAGCCTATTAAGCCCTTAAACATTACAAAGTTGCAATTAGACCCATAAACATATCATTTTGATGCATTGAAGCCCAACAACCAGTTGATGACCTGTTATTGCAGGTCACAAAAATTCCGGCGACCTTCTAACCCGCCCCAGCAATATTTCGATTAACTCTGGTGAATTTCCGATCAACCCAACAAAAAATTGAAGAAAACAGGCCGATCAACCCAACAAAAATTTGAAGAAAACAGGTTGATCAACCCAACAGAAATTTGAAGAAAACATGAAAAAAGGTCACAGGCAACTATTTTTGTGATCCGTTCCGCGGTGTCCTCTGCCCCCAAATGCTCCTCGAAAAAGCTGCCGGTGGAACTGTCGTCACATCTCTCTTCTTCTTCTTCCCTTTTCTCACGTCCATGCCCGGCCCCAACAATGATGGCGCCATCCTTAGTCTGATCGCCCGTTGGTAAGACTTCAAATTTAATTTTGGAATGGATGAAAGGAATTTCAGAAAACACTTTTTCATCGTAGGTCTACATCTTCTTTTGTAAAATTAATTGAAAGTTGTGCTCGAAATTTGATTTTGGTGATTGAATGTATTAATGGGAGATGTAGTTGCTCGAATGTCTTTCCATGGATCCTTCTGGTCCCCTTCTTACACCGAAGAAGCCGCCTTCTCAAACCAGAGAAAGCGACTCTCCAGTGAGAACTGTCGGAGAAGCGATCGAAATGGTTGCCTTCTCTAGCATGTGACCTTTTGGTCACTTTTTTTCCAGTATTTTTCTTCAAAATTTTGTGGAGTTGATCGGAAATTCGCCGGAATGGGATAAAAAGTCGTCGGATTTTTTTGTGACCTGCAATAACAGGTCATCAACGGGTTAATGGGCTTCAATGCATTAAAATGATACGTTTATGGGTCTAATTGCAACTTTGTAATGTTTAAGGGTTTAATTGACTTTATAGGTAAAGTTTGAGGGCTTATTCGACCATTTTCCCATTATAAAAATAATGTTACAACTGGACGCGCAAAAACTAAAATTAAACAAAACGACGTTGTTTTTTACTGTGGTGCATCCAGTTGTGTGGACCACGGTCCATGCAATAACTATTGCTCTAGGTTGGAGATTAGGCTCCCCAAATTTCTAAAAATGTGGACATGATCTCTTGTGTGTAACGTCAGGCTGGAAGATTGCTTGGGCGGCTTGCAATTTATATCCTCCAGCGACATAAGAGTTAGGATTAGTCTGGCATAAACTGTGAAACCTATAATGTTTCAAGAAGGAGAAATGGAAAAAAATGGAAAAAAATAAATAAAATGGCAGCCACTCTAACACGTCCTGCGCAATACCTAATGAAGCTCACAAAAAAATAATCTATCATACAATCAATCATTATTCTCTCTCTCTTAATTTCTCCCTCCCATCAAGCAAAAATCTCACAAAAATTCCTAAGAGTAACCACAATTGTGATTGTTGAAGAGTTTTATCATATATTTTTTTGAGTTGAATTTTTAACAATTGGGGATGGTTTTTTTTTTTTTTTTTTTTTTTTTTTAAGTTTTTTCTCTTTGCAAAAACAAATTTTTAATTTACAGGAAAAAGAAAGAGAGAAAGAGAAAGAATAACCCCAACGGGTGCATATTGAATATGCATTAACTAGAGTGCTTCAGAGTGGCTACCAACCGGTAACCACTTTGAATGTAAATCTATTTCTTCACACACACTAAACAAGACACCTTTCAAGTTCCAATTGTCCCTCCAATATTCCCATAATTTTTTTTTATTGAATTTTTCGGCCCTCCTCTCAACAAACTCTCAATTAATTGTAATGGGCGGTTAGATCCTTTTTTAACGAATCACATTTGGTTTGTACGCCTATTAACACTTTCCAACTCGCAATGCGGCTCTTTACGTTTACCTTGTACGGACTCATCCCTCCATCACTCCATGGCAGGTCTCTCTCCTCTTTAACACTCTGTAAATGATTCATTTGAATTCTTGGACATAATATTAATTTTAGATTTTAGATTTTAGAAGGTGAGTGATGATCTTGTTAATATATTAATCTACTCACAGTAGGTCAACTAGTATTTTAGTATACTACATTTTTTAGTTGAATTTTGGGTTATAGTTTCATTGAGAATCATCTATGTGCAATGAATATTGTTAATTATAAAGGAATGATCTATGTGCAGTGAATATTCTTAGTTTCTTATGAATGAATGATCTATGTGCAGTGAATATTGTTTGTTTCTTACGAAGGAATAATCTATGTGCAGTGAATATTGTTTGTTTCTTACGAAGGAATAATCTATGTGTAGTGAATATTGTTAGTTTCTAATGAAGGAATGATCTATGTGAAAATTGTTAATTTCTTATGAAGGAAAGGAATGATCCATGGGCAGTGAGTATTGTTAGTTTCTTATCATGGAATGATCTATGTGCAGTGAGTATTGTTTGTTTTTTATGAAGGAATGATGAATATTGATAGTTTCATATAATTAAGGGAAAGATTTTGATTCCCCGTTCTTAATATTTGCCAATACTGAACAAGCAATTTAGTTAGTTTTTGCAAAAGGAAACTAAGCGAATCTACTTGTGCAGCAGAGTATTGATGAAGCTAGCTAGTTTAGGTTTGATTAATCTCTATTATATTGGTAGGTGGGTGAAAGTTCTTTCATGGACTGCATATATTTATGATTTTCTGCTGAATTGTTTACCATCTGTATTGATGCATATCAGACATTGAAGATGGTTCAAATGAGAAGCCTCGCTCGCTTATGAATCTCAAACGGTTGCATTTTTGGCTCCAATTGGCTCTTATTGTGGTTTTCCTTGTTGGTCAGGCAGCTGCTGTTATTCTTGGAAGAATTTACTATGAGAAAGGTGGAAATAGTAAATGGTTAGCCACTCTTGTCCGAACAGCTGGTTTCCCTATTCTTTTAATTCCTTATTTTCTTATTCCTTTTCCCAAAGAACAATTAGATTCATCAAACCCACCTCCGCCTTCTCCTTCTATCATCAAAGTTACAATTATCTATTTCTTACTTGGTGCCGTCATTGCCGGGGATAACCTTCTATATTCTACTGCATTGTTATACCTCTCAGCCTCAACCTATTCCCTCATATGTGCCACGCAGCTAGTCTTTGATGCTATTTTTTCTTTCTTCTTTATTGGTACAAAAATTTCAGTGTTGATTTTCAACTCTATGATTGCCCTTACATTAGCTGTTGTTCTGCTTGCCATTAACGAGGACTCTGATAAGCCTTCGGGCATCACTAGGTGGAAATATATAATTGGAATTATAGTGGCTACTGTGGCTTCTGCCTTGTACTCCTTCATTTTTCCAGTGACTTTTGCATTGTACACCGTCATTTTTCCACTGACGGAACACTCATTTCATAAAGTTAAAAAGATAGAAATGTTTTCTGTGCTTCTGGGAATGCAGATATACACATCACTTGTAGCCACTGGTATCTCTACCATCGGGCTGTTTGCTAGTGGGGAATGGAGGACTCTGTCGGGAGAAATGCACGCCTTCACCACAGGAAAAGCCGCCTATGTGCAGGTTCTGGTATGGACAGCCTTGGGATGGCAGATTGGTGCAGTTGGCATCTTGGGTTTAATTGTTGTGGTGTCCTCCTCGCTCTTCTGCGTTGTTATCAGCACACTCTCTTTGGCTGTTACTCCCATCGCTTCGGTGATCATCCTGCATGAGAAGATGAATGGTGTCAAGATGATTGCTTTGCTAATCGTAATGTGGGGCTTTGGAAATTACATTTATCAGAAGTACCTGGATGATACCAAGGCAAGAAAAACACATTTTGCTTCTGCTGATTCTGCATCTAATAGTTCTTCTTGTTATTATTAATCATTGGATAGGTCAAACAATATATTGTAGAAATATCATTCAATTGTTCTTTTGGCAAAACCAGTATCATGACGTACAGCAAGTTTCCACCCTCGTCAGTGAAGAGAACAAGCTCACCTGTGAAAAGTACAAGCTCGTCATCTTAGGAGACGTGTTTGTCGGCAAAAGCAGTATCATCACTCGCTTTGTGAACAACAAGTTCCATAACGAATACAAGGTAAATGAACCTGCGATTAGTTTGATTTAAGCTTTTGTCGTTGAAGTTAGTGAAATTCAATCACTAGTGCATTTTTTTGGCTGATCGTTCTGGCTGCGACTCCTGCATTCCATTTGATTTACTGATTTTTGTTGGAACTTAAATTGACTCTTTGTTAAGTTGGCATTTAGTTTATTGAGGATCTGAATGTATTTGCTTTCTCATTCTAGTCTGCTAGGAATTGAACTTTGTGTTGAAGTCTTAACGAGGAATTTCCACCAATCAGTTAAACACTACAGTGACAACCTTTTGGTAGCAGCTTTTGTATATGTAGAAAGTATGATATGCAAATACACTAATAGCACATTAACCTAACAAAGGTGAAAGAACACCAACATTAATCCAGGCCAGCGGAACTTCCCTCATTGATAATTGTATTTTAATTTATTATTTGGACTTGGATCTTTGTTATTGGCTTTGTGAACTAAGTTAATTGCAGAATTTCTTTACTCCTACGTGGAAAACTTACGTTGTTTTCGTTCTAAATTCACTTTAAAAATCTTTCAGCGAACAATTGGCGCTGATTTCCTGATAGGGTATCTTAAAGATCGTAAAGTTAGACTGCTGCTTTGGTAAGTTATGATTCTGAATAAATGATTTTTTGAAGTATTTATCGCGTTTTAATTTTAATATGCAGCTTATAATTTCACTTCTCAAACATCCATTTGTATTGACAAATAATTCTTGATATACCTAATGCTCCTGAATAAATGATTTTTTGAGACTTCTATCGTGTTTGCAATATGCAGCATATAATTTCACTTCTCAAGCATCCGTCTATATTCACAAATTCTTGATTTAAACTATGCCTTTTGAATAAATGATTTTTTGAGGCTTTTAATGCGTTCCAATATGGGCATATAATTTCACTTCTCAAGCATTCATTGTATTGACAAATTCTTGCTTATAAAATATACTTTTGAATAAATGATTTTTTGAGACTTTTATCACAATTCTAATATGTGACGTATAATTTCACTCATCAAGCATCCATTTGTATTGGCAAATTCTTGATTAATATTTTCTTTCTATCTCGTGTACATAAGATGTATTGTAGTGATGCTATGTTTGGACTAACTTATGGTAGTTTGCTGATCTGATTAAGCATTGCAATTGCTTTCTTCCCATATTCCTTATCTTGACATCAGACTGATGCATAGTTATCACGGTGCCCCCCGACCGCCTTGTCGCCTAGGCGACAAGTTAAAAAATTATATATATATATATATATATATATATATATATATATATATATATATATATATATATATATATTAGACTTTAGATATGCTATATTATATATATTATATATATATATACTCCGTATATAATATACAAGCTAGTGGGAGACAGTAAGCACTAAGCACTGGCTTCAATGCCTCTGCCAGTCTGCCCACTGCCATGTCCCATCTGCCCACTGCCCTGTCCCATCTGCCCAGCCCCTCTGCTAATATAAACCAAAAAGAAACAATGGGCAAGTGACTGGTAAACTATAAGGTCTCAGCCGAAAAAAAACACCTCTCAGCTCCAAAGAAAATGGAGAAACAAAAAGACCGAAGAAGATTCACAAGTCAAGGCGGTGGGACGGCGACGGCAGTGGGAGGGCAATGGGTTTCTTCTTCTCTCTCTTCTCTATTCTACCATTTTTTAAAAAAATAAAATAAAATGGGTCGGGTATTTGGGTTTGGACGCCGGATCGGCGTCCAAAGGTGTCGCCTGGGACGCCTGGCCGACGCCTTGGCGACGCCGGAGCTCGCCTCACCATTTCAGGCGAGGCGAAGCCTCCAGGCGTCCTGTCTCCACCGACAGGACGCCAAGGCGACGCCGTGATAACTATGGACTGATGTTATCTTTCTAGTTGCACTAGAAACTTTTCTTCAGCTAATCTTATTGATGTATACTCTTCCTATGTAGTATGATACATAGTATTTACACTGGAATAATATTAGATTGCCTTCTCAATTACACTGATAATTTAATATGCTACATATGTTGGATCAGTTATTGGATTGATATTTGTTTTTTTTTTTTAATTGTTTCTTAAATTGCTCTACTTCTATGGTGGCGAAAAAGGGATACTTCAGGGCTAGAGAGATATAGGATTCTTATACCTAGCGTCATCGAAAACTCAGTTGTTGCTGTTATTGTGTACAATGTTACAAGTACGCTCTCTAATCTTTATGGCTTCCTTTTCGTTTGATGAAAAGCTTGCTTAGTTTCAAGAAACATGATCCGAATTGAGATTTATTTTGCTTATTTATTAGCAGAGCTTAATTCATCATATATATTCATATGCATGCAATTTGTTTTCTCAGCCTATGCAAAATATTTGATGTCACCACATTTAATTTTCTTTATGCTCAGGTAGGCAGTCCTTCCTTAATACTACAGAGTGGATTGAGAAGGTTCGGGCTACCCTTGGGAGTACTGATGCTATCATTGTTCTTGTTGGGAATAAAACTGACCTTATTGAAAAAAGGTTCCTTCCCGAACATCATTTTCCTGCTTTATACATGATTAGTAGATCTTAAATCATCTATCTTCTCACTATTTTATATTTTATATTTTAAATCTCATGTAATATTAATAATAACTAATTAAGTTTTCAACATTTGGCCACCTATCTTATCAAGAAAGGGATTATCTTAAGAATTTGTGTGTAGGTTAAGAGTTGCGTGGATATTTCATATTTTGTTTTTAGGGAAAATGGCACTTTTTTCCCCTGTGTTATATACTTATAGCACTTTTTCCCCCTATATTATTTAAGTGGCAATTTTCCCCCCTGATATATTAAATGGACATATTTACCCTTAAAATAAATATTTCCTTTATTTTACTTCTCCAACAAATTATAACCACAATTTGAAAAAATAAAATACATTAATTGTTGAATTTAGAATACTTTAAAAATAAAAAAATAAAATTTTAAAATAATGTTTGAACCAACAGTTCAAATTGGATCCGAAATTGTGAAACAACGATTCAAAATAAAAACCAAATCGCGATTATATATACTTATATGTGAGAGTCAATATAAATGCGAAAAAAACATACACTATTTGCAAATATTATAATTCTAATTTTAAGCTATTGCTAGTAGTTGTTCCAATTTGAACCTCTGGTTCACGGTTCAGAATCTATTTTTTTCCACTTCACAATTTTAATAAACGGAAACCCAAATATTGGGTTATGTTATGAATCATAACTGAATTTTTTTTATTTGATTGCTATAGTGTTCGGTTCAGTTCGAACCGAACCGTGGCCATCCCTACATATAAACAATAATTTGTTGAACAAGAGAAATAAATAAAATATGTATTTAAGGGTAAAAATGTCTATTTAATATTATCAGGGGGAAAAACCGCCACTTTTATAATAATTGAGGGGGCAAATATGGATGCATGAATAACTCAGGGGGAAAAAGTGTTATAAGCATATAACATAGGGAGAAAAAGTGCCATTTTCCCTTGTTTTTAATTGATTGGATATTATTAACAGACAAGTTTCAAAAGAGGAGGGAGAAGCTAAAGCAACGGAACTAAATGTCATGTTTATTGAAACCAGTGCAAAGGCTGACTTGAATATAAAGGTGAGTGACAATGTGGTTTCTAAAGAAGTGGGATTTCTTAAAGAACATCTATCTGTTTTTTATGATGAAATGGAATTTACATAATAATATATTCTGAATTTGAGAAATGAAAATACTTAGTATTGTTATTGTTGTGAGTGAGTTAAAATTTGTGTAGATTGATTTGTAGTTTGTACACATGGCTGGCTGGCTGGCTGGTTAACTAACTCATTTTGCTGCAATAATTGCAGGCGCTATTTAATAGTATAATAGGTGAAGCCTTGCGGCCTACCCAAGCAGCATGAATGGAGACATTATCGTGATAAATGACTAAAATGTGCGCTGATTTTTTATTTTTTTTTGACAAAAATATGTAAATCAAAACTCCCATATGCGTTTTAGGTTGTGTCCCGGCCTTTTTTTTTTTTTTTTTCCGGATTTATCTAAAACGCAAGACGGACTTGCGGTTATGAAATTGTATACCTAAAACGCGTTTTAGGTTTACATACGGTATACAATAGTATGCGATAAATGCATCTGACAATTGCGTTTTACGTATTATACGTAAAACGCAATTGTCAGATGCGTTTATGGTTTTGGTACGCACCGGAGTCTGGCGACGTGCGTACACCACAAAACGCATATGGCACATGCGTTTTACGTATAATACGTAAAACACAAGTGCCAGTTGCGTTTTTGATTTGTCCGGCCGGTCGTTTGTTCCGCTTTCGGCGACATGAACGGAGATTGAAATCGCATTACCTTAATCGCAACTGGCAGATGCGTTTTTGTTTTTTGTTTCCGGCAACATTAAAATTGACTACAAATATTAACGTTGCGTACCACCATGGTTCGATTATTTTATCCGGCGACATAAATCGCATTTTCGTAATGCATTCCGTACCCTTACAGTTTATTGTGATCAATTTCGCGTTTGTGTATTGTATTAGTTTTAGTATAAGTATTAAAAAAATGAGCAAATGTTAGCAAAAGGTGGGTTAGCTTAGTTGGGTGATTATGCATTTAAACAGATGGTCATATTTGTCAATATGTACTTTTAATTGGTAATATGAGCATTATAAATACTAATTTTAAAAAAAAATTAAAAAAATTGTAAGGATTTAGTAGTTTACTATCTTTTTAGTGTAGTCAAAGGCAATAGATATTTTTTCATAATTCGTTTAGCAAAATAGTTTAAGGAATGGTTATTAGTTTGAATGTATGTTTTCAGTTTTGGAAATTGTAACGTAGGTGTATTAGGTGTATGAGAACCAAGGAGATTGAGTAGAACCACAAATAAAATTGCGAAAAACTGTAAAAGGCGTTTGATGTAACCGCATAGCAATACAAATTCTCATATGCTAATTACACAATTTTGATATACATCATATATTCATATACTGAAAAGTACATGGACTGAATTCTAATTTCTCAATTGAAATCCCATGTAGTCGTTAACACAGTTGCGGACAGTGGCCTCTTTGGAGTTTTGGAGGGCTTGCTCCATTTTCCAGACGCAAGTCTAAGTTGCTATGGTGTACTACATATTTGCGTAGTACATCATTAACCGTCATTGCTATCTGGGGACGTCGTATCGTAGATGGCTCGTAAAGGAAATACGAAGTCTGTAAGTGAAGACATTCAACTTCCTTTGAGTAGAGATCGGCGGCGGAAAATATGAACAAACCCTTAAAACGAAAAGCAAAATCACGAAATTTAGTTGAAATTCATTGAAGTTTGGATTCACTCTGAAAATATGTTGGCATGAAATATTGTGCATGCGAGAGTTGATAAAAAGAAAATAAACTTTCCATCCCATACATAATAGAAAAACAAGTAATGCCGTCAAGCAAACAAATATTGGATTTGAATGTGAATCCGCGAACGCCATTGGATATATATAGCGAGAGAAGTTATGGTTTTTTTTTTAATTATTATTATAACAGAATGGTCGAGAGTCAAAACGCAATTGGGTAATGCGTTCTTGCTTACAACGCAAGACCGGTATGCGTTTTTGTTAAAGTGACAGCCCAGGTACGTATCAGTTGTCAGCCCATCATTCCATCAGTCAGCCCATTAGTCAGACCGTCAAAACACAAGTGGGTAATGTGGTCTTGCTTAGAACGCAAGACCGAAATGCGTTTTATTAAAGTGACAGCCCAAACCCATCCATCAGTGAGCCCATCAGTCAGACCGTCAAAACGCAAGTCACAGTTGCGTTTTCGATAAGTAGTTTTTTTTTTTTTAATTCCTGATTTTGTACTTTTAACAATTGAATATAAATAATATAAAGTAATAATGTTATTGTAATATATTGGGGCCCTCCATTTAAAAGTTGATTAGATTTGCAGGGATGTAGTGTGAACAGTAAATTATTTGCAAATTTGTGGATGTAGAAGTACGATCCATTTAAGTGAGTCTGAGTTTGTTAAACGTAATTAGTAGATTTATATATTAAAAAATTATGAGATACACTAAAATAGTAGTCAAGACATGGACAAAATTAATATAATCATTTAATGGAAATGCGATAATGATATAAATGTATACAAACATAAATTTTCTTTTGCAAAATGCACAACTTAGATATACATCATATATTCATATACTAGAAAGTACATGAATTAGCAAAATAATTTCGGTAAAAAATAATTTCCAGGGACTGGCATTGATGTGCATCATATATTCATATACTGCATTCAGTTTTCATTTCTTGGAAGTCGTTCAAAAAGTGATGAAATGTAGCATCCGCGGAGTTCTGCATTTCTTTGTTAGGGACAGTAGTGTACTCCTTAGCGTAGACATGTTTGACGTCACGCGTATTGTGGGCACTGCGTATGGTGAAACACAAAGTCTGTAGTATCAGACATTTAACGACTTTGCCTGTATCCTCAAAAGAGGCTCACTCACTTTATCGAACCCCAAAATGCAATGCAAATTCACGAAATTTAGTTGAAATTCCATGAATGTTGGATTTACAAAAGAAATCGGGTGGCTTGTAATACTCATGAGAAAGTCGAAAGAAAGAAAATAAACTTCCCATAATGAGTAGAGAAAGAACCAATGCGGTCAAGACGATAATGTAATGTTTGAATGTAAAACCGTTCACGCAATGTGATATTTATAGCGAAAGATGTGACAAATAATTAACATAAAGTGAAAACGCAAGTGGGAGTTGCGTTGTTCTCTAGAATGCAATTCCCACATGCGGTTTTCCTTTTGTAGAAGTAGTGTAGCGTCAGTCATGGGTCAGTCCAAAAATCACATCACGTGTAGAACGCATACCATATTTCGTTTTTGTTATTTTTTGTTTTGTTGTGATTAAAGTGTCAGGCCAATCTTTGGAGTCATAGTCGGACCACAATGATCCAACCTAAAGTCGGAGCTGGATGGTCCGACCCTAGTTATAGTAAAATGTATTTTATTTTGTAAACCGTATTAATGAGAAAACAAACATTGATTACGGGGTAATGAAAGAACATATATTATAAGTATTTCATATAGCCGGAATGATTTATTACTGAAAATCATTTCATTGACGTCGATAACTGATGAATTTCACCATATTCATTCTCCAAAATATGGTAACTGATTGACCATGGATAAATATTCTCGACGTTATAGGCGATAGCAATTGGTAGCATTAGTATAACATGTTTGTCGACATTGAAGAACACAACACGGTCACATCCACCTAACTGAAAATGATCATATATTTGCTCCCACTGTTCGTCATGGAATACTAATGTGTAGTCGTAGTAGAGTTCTAGTTTCCTATCACCAACGATGAACATCAGAGGCCCATCCACTTCGATGGAGTCGGGGAGAAATTCACTCAACTGCTCACGCTATATTTAAGTAAGAAGAGAATCGTAAGTATTGGCTACAATTTAATTTCGGAATTTGAGTGCATAAGTTATTCTTACTGCGAAAAGCATACCGAAATTGTGATATAAAGATCTACAGCACTCGAATTGAACAAAGTCATATGTTGGCGGTATTGCCGACCGCGCTGGCACATTGATGGACACTATAATATGTACGAATGTATTAGTATCTAAAAGTCAAATATTTCATTAACCTTATGAAATAATACTGTAATGTTACCGCTATCAAACCGTTGAGTATTTCTTCTGCCGCCGAATTGATTAAATTCTCTCTTTGGACTATAAGAGTCGACGCTAAATAAGTAACATTCGAAAATGAAGAAACCTGTATGTCAAAATAAGACAATGTCTCATTGCTTTTTTCGCTATAAATATCCCATTGCGTTCGCAGATTTAGAGTTAAACCAACTATTTTTTTTCTTGACGGCATTATTTCTTTCATTATTCAGTATGGGGAATTTGTTTTCTTTTTATCAACTCTCTCATGCGCAGTATTTTTTCTTGCCACCATACTTTCGGAGTGAATCCAAAGTTCAATGAATTTCAACTAAATCTCGCGAACATTCTTTCAGCAAGGTTATTCAATCCTCCCAATGTCCTAGCAGACATAGTTGAGTCATTGTTGGGAGCAATATGCATCTACTGAGGCTGATAAATAAACACAGCATACACACATTTTATTGGTATATAAATATACGTTTCAGTGTATGTATAACTGATGTACATCCAAGTTGTGTAATTTAGATTTTCATATCGTGTTTTCATTTTGTGTTCCCAGTGTAATCAGATTTTCAATTTTTTTCTATTTCTGTAAAACACAAATACATCTCAGGCTATTGCCTAAATTAATAGCAAAAAAAAATTAAACAACAAAAAAGTTACCAATTAAAAATTCAGACTAAGACTTACGAGTTTTTCAAATTAGTTGTTCATCTTACCAACTAAGTCTAAATTCGGAGCATTAAAACGCAACTTGGAGATGCGGACCACTACAACGCATTTCGCAAGTACGAAATGCGTTCTAGGCATGTGAAACGCATATGGTACATGCGTTTTATATGCCTATAAATATGTGATGTTCCCTTTTCACGGACTAAAACCTACCTGATGTGTAAACTAGCAATGTATAGTAGTTACTTTGAGTTGGCAAAGTTCAGAAATTCCAATCACAGACCACGCATTCACATGTTGTTATTTATATTTCAACCACCAAATGAGGAAAAAAAATAAAAAAGGGTAAGTGTTATATATATATATATATATATATATATATATATATATATATATATGTGTGTGTGTGTGTGTATATGCAACTGTGACATGCATGTACATACATGTATGTACATGCATGTATGTACATGCATGTCACAGTTGCATACATACATACATACATACATACATACATACATACATACATACATACATATATATATATATATATATATATATATATAT